CCTCTCACCTCAGCCTCCCAAAGGCGCGGGATTATAGGCTGAGCCACCGAGCCCGGCCTCATGCTAAGTGTTTTATATGCATTACCAGATTTTTTCTTTTTTGAGTCAGAGTCTCACTCTGTTGCCCACACTGGAGTGCAGTGGCATGCTCACAGCCACCACAGCCTTGGCCTGCTGGGCTCAGGTGATCCTTTTGCCTCAGACTTCCAAGTAGCTGGAACCACAGGCATGTGCCACCATGATGCCTAGCTAAGTTTTTGATTTATTGTAGAGACAAGGTCTTGCCAAGTTTCCCAGGCTGGTCTCCAACTCCTGAGCTCATGTAATCCTCTCGCCTCTGCCTCTCAAAGTTCTGGGATTACAAGCGTGAGCCACCATGCCCGGTTAATTACCTGATTTTAATTCTCCCAAAATTATGACATTATTATCCTGTTTTGCAATATTGAACAAACCGAGGCTTGAAGAGTTTAAGCAAATTGCCCAGAATCACAGGGTTAATAAGTGGTGGGAGCAGGATTAAAGCTCCAGTGCCCTAGCTGCAGAGCTAGGGTCTCTCTGGTTCAACCTACAGGGGAACTGGATCCCTCTTTGGGGCTAACAGAAATTTACCAACATCTTACACACAATCACTTGAACCTCACCAGTCATACCTCCAATGCCATTTTCTTTCATCTTTTCAGAAGCAAGGACTAAATACTGTAATGAAAATACTGTAACAATAACCAGTATCAAAGCCTCTACTGCCAGGAAATGGCTCATGCTTGTTGTAACTCCAGCACTTTGGGAGGCCAGGTGAGAGGATTCCCTCAGCCCAGGTGTAGAAGACCTGCCTGGGCGACTTGGTGAGACCTCGTTTTCACAATAAATACAAAAATTAGCCTGGAATGGTGGCATGCCTGTACTTCCGGGCACTTGGAAGGCTGAGGCAGAACTGTCTGAGCCCAATGGGTAGAGGCTGTGGTATCCGAGACTCTGACTCAAAAAACAAACAAAACAAAACAAACATGGAACAACAAAACCATTACCAACCAAAGACAGAACACTTTCTGTGGTATTATGTTACATTGGTGGCCCAAATAAACCATGCCTACCAAACTGGAAGGTACTTTAGGGAAGTCTCTTTCCCTTGAATCTGGGTTTGGTCCTTTGACCTGCTTTATCAAAGAGCATGGTGAAGATGCCAGTTTTGGGCCTAAGACTTAATAGGGTTTAGCACAGGGATCCTCAAACTACGGCCCGCGGGCCACATGCGGCCCGCCAAGGACATTTATCCGGCCCACCAGGTGTTTTTG